TCTAAAGTACTTAATTTTTACAGTAAGATTATAATCACTGTATTTAATCCTATTTCATTGTCAAGATGAGAGATTTTGAAAATAACAATGGATGACTAGATCTTCAGGGAATGTTAATAGGCACAGCTTGGTTGGCTCCAGGGGAAATGTAAACATTTTTTTACCAGCTAAGGATCTAGATCAAGGAGGGCCAACTTTTTTGGCAGGTGTAAGAACCATACCCTGAGTGCCACACCAATCCTTTTCCCCTGCTCTATCTGTTGCTCTACCCCCTGCCTGGTCTGCTGCTCTTCTTTTGCTCCCTGCCTTATTTGTTGTATTTCCTGCTCCTTCACTGATCTGCCGCATACCACTGCTTAGGCCACTTACGGCACTTGCACCGAAGGTTGGCCACCTCTCTTCTAGCTCCTTGCGTTTTAAAGAGCTGAAGTCTTTCAGTTAATAGTAATGGCAATTGAGCCAACTTACTCCAATAGAAGCAGAATCAAGCCCTAAACAAATTAACTTCTGCCTGCTGAAGTATTTCTGAGGGATGTATGTATTAAAAAAAATAAAATAGGATACACAGAAATAAATTAAAAAAAAACCTAACAGGACATCAAACACAATAATTACAGATTAGCTTTCATAAAGATTGCAAGGGAATAACTAAAGTAGACCCTCACTGAAAAATGTTAGAGCCATTACAGCAAAAAAAATTATGCATCCATAACAAAGAGTATGCTCCAAACTGCTGTTATACAGTATTCCCACAAAGAGCCTCTCAGGTGACATGCATGTGTCTGATGCACACCATGTGCAACTTTAGTTCTATTAATAATTGTTTCCTTCTAGGCTTCCATCTAAAACCAAGATTATCACAAGCACAATTTAATTTTGGGCCTAGATGGAATAAAAAGTGCACACAAGCAAATAAAGATGTATAGTAATAGTAGTAGTAATGTGCCTTAGGCTTTGGGCATTTGACTTCATACAGCATGTTCTTGTTTTATTTTTAACAGAATGCAGTGACGGTATAGAATGCTCAAGAGAGGATTAAGCAAAAAGACTAAAATAAACTATTTGCCCTGTAAACCAGGGGTCAGTAATCTGCAGCTCATAGGCTAGGTCTAAGCCACGGAGCCATCTGATGCCTGTGGAGCTATGTGGCTTTGGCAGCTCTCCCTGCACTGTGCCACTGTCAGAAGCTGGGGACTACACTGGAGGGAAAGTTCTGCCCGTGCTACTATACAGATGGCCTCTGGCAGAGAGGGACTTTTACCATGCTGCATCACAGCTGAGCAGCAGGGAGAAGTGGTTGGTGGCAATCAGGTCCTAATGACTGCCTTCCTCCAACCTTAGGTCAGTCTTTCTGGACCCGCTACTGGAAATCATTACCAACCCCTGCTATAAACAATTTTGTGAAGCAATATCATGTGAAAATCTTCATGTGAAAATACCATTGAACAGCACAGATATAAATGGTCACAAATACTGCTTATTGGACTCTGAAAACAAGACTTTGTCATAACACCCCTCAGAAGGGTTTTATAAAAAGGGGAAATTCAGCCAACACAAAAATAGGAATTTTTGCAATACTTTGTAGTCTTGTGAAAGTTATTGTAGGTCACACACTCCTGCCAACTGCCCTATAATGAAAATGTACTGCATGTTGGACACTGAAGTCAGAAAAGTAGGATAAGGCAAACTGTAATGTCTCAATGAATATGCATGTGACATGTTACCTTAAGCTAAAGATCAGGTTGCAGACCAGAAGGGGGAAGGACAACAGTGACATTATATCCATGGAAATGTAAAAAAAACTATTCTGTCATGGTAGTGGTGGAGTGATGTTGTAGCTCTGATGGTTCAGGAAATATGCAAAAGGCAAGGATTTTTGTGATTGGTGTCTTTTTTAGGACCAGCTGCACAGTTGGGAGAGATTTAGGCAAGCTTTCAGCTACAAGATAGTATTTTTTTTGGTTTTTATCCATCATGGTTTTTATAAGTGTCCAGCTCCAGGTACTTGAAATGCTGACTCAGGAAACACTTCAGCACATGCTTACTTACCATGGACTTCAAAACAGTTAGAGAATTAAGACCCTAGTGACTAGGAGCCGTAGCGATGAAACAGGGCTCTAGCTGTGCTAGGCACTGTAAACACATACACGTTTCAAAAACACAATTTGCCCCAAAGAGTTTATAATCTAAGCACTATGTGTTTAGATTGTCTTAGATCAGTTGTGTCAAAGCTACCCTGGGTAGGATCCTTGCAGGTTGTATCTATTTCAGGGCCACCATATGCCCCATGCCAGAGCTGGAGCTGTCACTGCCCCTGCAATTTCTGTGCTGCAGCAACAGTTCTGGTTCCTGCATGAGGCATGTGGTGCATGGTGACAGCTCTAGCATAGGGTGATAGTAACAGGCAAAGCAGCCAGAGAACAACTAGGATCAAACCTTGCTTTCTCTCCTGCTGCTGACTTCCATGTTTACTGGGGCCCTGGATTATGTTGCAGGCTCTACCCCTGGCCCAGCCACCCAATGTCCAGTTGCCCATCAGGTCAGATAAAGTGCCTCTGTGGGCCAGGCTGTATGTTTGGTGCGTCTGCCGTGCCTCTCCGTGTCTTATGTGCCTCTTGAGAAAATTACAATAGGTCAGATTCTCTCTAGGCATGATTCTCTATGTCAGTAATTCTCAACAAGGGTGCCTTAAGATCCTCTCAAGGATGCCATGAAGTGTGAGCACTGTTAGGTGTGCAAACATGATTCACAAGAGAAACCCAGAGGTTTCAAATAGAAATCCAGAGTGTTAGACCTGTTGTGGTCTTTCTGAGCTCTTTGCAACAGAAGAATTGCTGTATTCACACACAGATTCACAGTTGAGGGCTGGACGGGACCTTGTGAGATCACTGGGTCCAGCCCCCCTGCTCTGGGCTGGAAAGACTGCTGGGGTCAAATAACCCCAGCAAGGTGTGTGCATCCAGTCTCCTTTTGAAGATCTCCAGGGTAGGTGCCTGCACCACTCCTGCTGGGAGGCTATTATTTTTCTGTAGTCAAAAAATAAGTGAAAAGGAAGAGCTGGCATTTTTCAAGAGATGCCTAAAGTCTAGTGATGGGCTCCTTGAGTCTAAAAAGGTTGAGAACCTCTTCTCTTTGCATTCAGTTTTCAGATGTATTTCTCTCTCTGCTTCCCTGTAAACTCCTTTTCCATGCTATCCTTCTTGCTTTCACCTCTTATCAGGTAAGGGTCAAATAACCCAGTTGTTTGCATTGGATAACATTGCAATATGGTATTGAACATACTATAAACCAGAAATGTTCCATCAAGATCTTACTGTATTTCCATAACAACCAAACTCAGCTGACTGAGGTGATAAAATTAACTGCAGCCTCAAACTACTTGCTCACATTTGAGAAGGTGACATTTGCTGCTGGTGGGATTTCTTCCACTATGTATTTTGTACATTCATATGTTTGGATCCTTCAGATATTGAAAAAATGTGTTTAATAATATATCTGAGTTGCCAGATGGCAAAAATTAATACATTCCAAATACTGGTGATATCACTAATTTTGGGGTGCACACAAGCTGTATTAAAGTAGAAGACAGCCTGGTAACTGGAGGGGTTACTATACTGGTTGGCCCTGGATTTATATTATTTTTAATCATAATTTTATGTAAATATCTGAGTTTCTATTTCAATCAAGTCCAACCCAACAGCAGTTTACCTTACTCCAACAGTACTATTAATAGGAAGAATTGGTGCCCATCCTGCAACTCCCAGCTGCTGATTTTCTTGAAGCTGTGTACACATGCAAAGCACTCTGGGATGCTGGAGGACTATGCAGCCGAATGGAATGTATGAAGACATCTGGCCTTTTGGGAGTGACTTAACCCTGGTTGTTTCTGGATTATTTTTCTCCTGGATTGGCCATTTTTGCTTTGGGAGAAAAAATCCTGAACATCACACTAACTGTTTCTACCAGGACAGCAGCAACGCTCCCAGGGGAAACTGAATGTCTGTATGTGGCCTTATCTGCCCTGCTAAGCTTACATGCCATCCTCTACTCCCCTCTCACCCCCAAATTAGACTTCTTATATAAACTCATTTGTTTAGAGAATATTTTGCACTCTGCATCCTTAAAAATACTTTTTTTCCTTCTACTTCAAGTAATGGGAATAAGGAAATAGAAGAAAAGATAGCTGTTTTGAGGACTCAAAAAGAGCACTGGTATTTTTAAACATATCTGTATGGTCAAAATCCTTGGAAAAAAGGGGACTGTAAAAGGTTGTTTTTCCTCCACTCTTTCCTTTTCAAATATCCAAAATATTTTGAATCCCAAATAAGGAGTCACTCCTTAAGAAACTCTGAAACTGGCTAAAGTAGAAATATTAATAGGTTGCAGCTAAGAAGAAAAGAAAGTATTACAATGATTTAATGACAAAAAAAGTGTTTCTTTGTGTTTCAAAATCTGTTTAGAGAAGGAAATTTCTGAAGGCAAAGCATAACTCAGTTTTAAAATGTGGTATTTTTGTGATCTTTTCTTAAAAAGACAGCAAAGAATATTTGTTCAATAATAAATTATGTAAAAATAATTTCTACCTACTGAGAAGAAAGGAGATATTTAAGGAGGCAAGGCAGACAAAGAGTGACTTTTTTAAGTCAGAAACTAATTCTTGACAACATTTAAATTGGGAAGTTTTCCTTTCACTTTGTGGATAACAAGCACCTATTTCTAAAAGCCTACTGTAAATTCCATTGATACACACTACTATTTCACTGATCAATGCATGAAAGCATGGAGAAATGATAATATTGTAGAGATCTACACAATAGATTTTAACTTCTTGTTCTGGAGTTGTAACCTAGCACAGTGTCACAAGGCCTTTACTACACCATTGTTCAGCAAATCCTGGTGGCACATATGATTTTATGTGAGGTATCAAGTCATGTTTAGATTAGGGAGTGACCCTGGATACTCTTTCCCCAACCCAAGAAATGGTGACAAAGGCATAAAGAGGTGCTCTTGCCTATGAGAAACTTTAATAGGCATCTTTATAATTACAGCAAAAGCAGCCAGCCGCTGTATAATAAAGTACACGGATTCCTCTTCAACTGAGCGAGTAATGTTATGTTCCATTCCGTTATTCCACCTTCAGTGATGTCCCCCATTTTTCTTTGGAGGATATAGTGCATATTCGATTCCAAGAGCTACCACAAAGGCTGCAAATCCCCACTTGAGACCTTTGGTGGCAACATCTAGAAGAGTGACAGGCTTTGCATAGCCACCCATATACCTCCATGCTTCATTGCTAAGGAAAAAACAAAATTGGAAGACAGAGTAAAATTAGTAGTCACTGTGATCCCAAATACCAGCAGAGAGATGTTTATATGTAGAAGCTAAATAGCATATTCAAGCAAGAAAATCATTGAGCATGTAAAGTTTCCATAGTTAAAGTACTCAAAGATCAGACTATGCCATGGCCGAGATTAATAATATTAAGTCTGCCCACTTAGGCACCTGCATTATGCCAGTGTTGCTGAATGTTACTACTATATAACAAAACACATTTTTTCAACCGTTGATGTATGTGTTTTAACATATTTTCTCTTCCTATTCCCTGTATGCCAAAAAATAACATAGAAGAGGTACAGCAAATGGCATAGTATCATCAGCATTAAGATAATCTAGAAGATCTAGTCATGAACTAGAACACCATTGTACAAACAGAATAAGATACTTTTGCCCCAAAATTTACACTGGCAATAGATATTATTTGGCCTGGGTGTTTTCTATTGTAGCTAATGCTCCATAGACTTTCCTGTCTTGATTTTAAAAGAAAGGCAAAAGAAAAAAAACCCAGAGCATGCAACTTTCTTGTTAAACATTGCCATAACAGTCTTATCCAAGTCTTTACCTAGCTCTTTACCTGAATTCTAGCTGACCCACAGCTACTTCAGTGATAAGAGACTCCTGTGATGTCTGAGAAATTTGGGGTGCAAACAGAAGTGCAGCTCCCTGCTGTAAGTGAGAAGCTTTGCAGGAAGTGTTCTGAGTTACAATGACCCCCTGGGACAAACAGAAATTCACTGCTGGTTCCAGGGGAAAGGACATTTAGCTGCTGGCTGCCAGCCTATAATCAGTCACATTTTTCAAAATGGGAGGGGGGAAAGGGAGCAGAGGGAACTCATTCTAGGGTTTCCCCAGTTGGTACTCCTTCCCCACCCTTCAGCCAGCGCTGAAAATCCCCCAGACCAAACTCCCGCCACTCCCTTTCCTTCCTCCCCTTCTGAAAACAGGCTGCCACGCAGCACAGACAGCAGTTACAGAAGACACTCTGTTTTGAAATGTCTTCATCTGACCCCTCATTTCATGCAATGAGGGGTCAGATTTTCACTCAATTGGCCAGTTTTTAAGCTGTCTAAACCCATGCATTTGTGTTTGCTCATGGCTATAAACCACTTTCTGTGGACAGATCAGGCAAAAATTGTCACTTCTGACTGCACCCTAAGCATCATGCAAATAATTTATCCAGTACCAAAGAAATTCCACTAAATACCTCTCCCATATCTGGAAAGGATTCAAAGTCATCATGAAAGGTGAAAATACAGTTTTTTCTGGAGGATAGGTATCCAAATCAGAACCACCATAACAATAATCAGTACTGGGCAATAAGGCACATAAGGGTTATAACCAGGGACCTGGGTTTTCCATTCTCCACAGAAAAAGGTGGATTTTGTCTAGCTGGGAGGGCTGGAGGGGGACTGGGATGGACACACACACACACACACACACACACTCACTCTCACTCTCTCTCTCTCTCTCTCTCCAGGGCATGAGCGAGGGGTCCCAGCAAGGGGCAGGGCTGTGGGTTGGGGAGTAAGAGGCACTGGCAGGGCCAGGGGGCTGTGGGTTGGGAGGAGGAGACCTGGGGGGTGAGGGGCACCAGCAGGACCAGGGGGTTGTGGGTCAGGAGGGGCACTGCAGGGCTGGAGGGACTGTGGCTCGGGTATAAGAGGCAACAGAATGGACAGGGCACCAGCATATCAGGGCTGTTCAGCACCACAAAGTGGGGAAGGGGAAGGGAAGGGACAGACAGCCACAGTGACTTGCATTCTGGTGAGTGAAGGGGACAGGGGAAGCCCTGATTTTCGATGATTAAAAAAAATAAAATGCCAAAATATATAGGTATTTAGAATTTATTTTATTGTAGTGGACTGAGGCATTGGTAGGCTTCCAAACTGCTTCTAAATTGTAAATGCATCAATAAAACATTGTGTTCAACTGATCTCTCTCTCTCTCTCTCTCTCTATATATATATATTCATGTTTCATGTTCACTGTGGAAAAACATGAATTCTGGGGTTTAAATCACAGAATTTGTGGGGAGGGTTGTGGGTTTTTTTTAAATAGAGAAAACCAGGATCCCGGGTTATAACAAAGCCTTATGAACCTTAACAGGTTAGCTGCTTTTTCACTTTTGATCTCTCCAACCCACCTTTACCTCACTCAGCTGAGTCCCCTCTCGCTCCCTCTTTCCCTATCCTTTGTTTTTAAATTACTTTATTCCTTTCTATTTAGTACCCCATGTCTCTGCAAGTCCATTCCTAACATCTGATGAAGCTGACTGTTGCTTAAGAACGCTTATGCCTTTCTTTAATGTGCCACCCTGCCCTGCCTTCAGACTAACATGGCTAACTACCTCTCAGTGGTTATTACTGACTGTCTTGACAAAACCTCTGGAGAGATATCAGGAAATGAATAGTCTGTGGACACTCATGTCTATTGCACAGGCTCTCTCAATAACTCTAGGTTACAGCATAGTGCTAAGAAAGCTCATTCCCTAGTTCTTAGTGCTGTGTACCTAGTTTTATGAATCAAGCATTTCAGTTTTTAGGACTGCAAATACGGCTTCTTCTATAAGGGCTAAATCTAAACTGGGATTGTACTTTATACATTATGCTACATGGAGCTTAGATTTTTCAGTATTCTGAGAGGAAAAGAATATGGGGCCAATGAGTATACAAAAACTCAGAAGGGTTTTGCCACTTCAGACTTCTTAATACAAGATATTCTGCAGCAGAAGCACATTAATAAATAATGTAGTAAACAGCTCTTAATACTTCTTTTTCACTAAAGAGATTAGTATTAAACCAGGACTCCAAGTTTGCCTCAGCTGTGGACTTACTTTAGAAATAAGTCTGTGCTAGTCAAAGCTATGCAGAAGAAATTCCATGCTTTAAGAGTTTCTGACTTTATCCCTTACTCAGTATTCAACTAATCTAATAAATAGCTCATTTTTTTCCACCCTGTTTTTTTCCCCTAGGAAAACAGCATTTTTTCATTAAGAAAACAAAACAGTACAAATTCTTTGCAGTTCAACTCAGTATTTTGCAACAGTCTCCAAAGCAATATGCTTGGGAAGCATACACACTCCAAAACAGATTAATTTACTTGGTCAATTTCCTTGTGGTAGCAAATTTATTTCCAGCTGAGAACAGAGATATTGTTTTACATACATAAGATAAAATCCATTGTTTCATAAGACTTCTTGCACATAAAGTAGGGGTGCACCAATAAAGATTTTTTTGGCTGATACCAAATGGCTGATTATTAACCAGTCATATTGGCTGATACCACTCTGATTGCCAAAATGCAGCCCAGCAGCTTGGAG